GATATATTTCTAGCAACAGCCAAAAACACATTGTATGGGTCAAAATTATTGATTTTTCTTTTATGCCAAAAATCATTAGGATATTAAGTAAAGATCATGTTCCATGAAGATATTTTGTAAATTTCCTACCGTAAATATATCAAAACTTAATTTTTGATGAGTAATGTGCATTGCCAAGAACTTCATTTGGACAACTTTAAAGGTGATTTTCTCAATATTTAGATTTTTTTGCACCCTCAGATTCCAGATTTTCAAATAGTTGTATCTCGTCCAAATATTGTCCTATCCTAACAAACCATACATCAATGGAAAACTATTTATTTATTCAGCTTTCAGATGATGTATAAATCTCAATTTCAAAAAAATTGACCCTTATGACTGGTTTTGTGGTCCTGGGTCACATTTATCACGTGTAAACAGATGTTTTCATTATATTGCAAATTTTAGGGTGCATATAAACATAGCATATGGAATCAACAGTTAGATGGAATTTAATTTGGAGCAAGGGAAATTGGTGCATGTCTTATTTAATGCATTTTTAAAAATGTATTTATTTTCTAAATAGTGATGAATTCTATATTATATAATTATTTTATCATATATATATATATATTTAATGTCATAACTGTTTTTGTGGTTTTCAATTAAAAAAAAATCCTTCAAATAAAAAAAAACTTCAAATCAAATAAGATCTAAACAATTAAACATGCATCACTTACAGATTTCTCCCGAGTCAAAAAAGTTACCAATTTTGTGCATTATATTCTGTTTATCTGCAGACAGTGCTGTGAGCATATTTATCTGTGTTTACTCTGATAGCTCTGAGCATTAAGCCCCCCCGAGCTCTGAAGCAGGTGGGCGGTAGTGTCCTTTTGCTCTGTTATGGATGGAGTGTGTTGTAGATTTGGAGGACAGTCGTGGGGTTCTGCCCACCAGCGGCCACGCACTGGACATGCACTTAGATCACCAGCAGACCACACAGTAACTCTTTTCTTCCTCCCCGGCCGTCACTACTTCTGTCCTGCTTTCTCTTTCAGGGAGATACTTCATTTTCCTTGCTCTGCTTCTTGTTGGTTTTACTTGTAATCAAATAATTCCCAACTATCCTGGACAAAGTAGAGCTCTAGAATGGGAAATTAAAGGAATAGTTCACCCTCATGTTGTTACAAAACCTGTGATACTCTCTTTTGTGTAGCAAAAATTATAATATTTAGGAGAACGTTCATGCATATACTTTCTATAGGACATGACACAAAAGCATAATAAAAGTAGTAAATATATATGAGCTGCTAACTCAAGAAATGCTGAAATTGAATCATTGATTCACTGAGTTGAACTTGAGAATGTCTGATTCAAGAGTAAGTCATTCTTTTCAAAATGAACAGTTTACAAATCAGACTGCATGATTCGTTCACAAATCAGACTAATTCGGTTCTCAGCTGTTTGACTGACTCAGTGAATGCAATGATTCTTGATTTAACTGCTCCAAAATAAATCAGTGAAGACTTCTCATTTCAAATGTTTCTTTTGAGTTGATTCTTTCAAGGTGAACTGGTCAAAATAGTCTACAAATCAGACTGCATGATTCGTTCATGAATCATACTGATCACGTCCTCGGTTGTTTTACTGACTCAGTGAATCCAATGTTTTTTTTGGTTTAAAAATGAATCAGTAAAGTCTTCAGATTCTTCCAATTTTATGTTTCACAGAAGAAAAAAGTCAGACAGGTTTGGAATGACACGAGGGCGAGTAATGGTGACCAATTTTCCTTTTTTGTTTTTGGTGAACTATTCCTTTAACTATCAATATAGTGTCAATGTATGCAAGCACTAGCTGCTTTTGCACACATCTCTGCTTTCCAAGACAGTTTCTATAGATGTCACTTCCGTCTGTCCTTTTTCTCTGCCTCTCTCAGGGTGTTCTGTTCCTAAAGATTAATCACACCTGTCCGACACACCTTCTGCCTCTGTATAACGCTGCTATTAGTCTCTCCACGACAGCTTTATGAAATTCTGGGCATTTGAGTCACATAGGCATTGTAAATCTCCACGATTTGGGTTGTGTCTTTGGTCAAAAAGGCATGGATATGCTGTGGTTAAATAAAACCACAGTATAAGCAGAAGTGATAGTTATAACGGGGCAGATCTTGGCCAATTAACACCAAGTCGACAGTAACACGGTGGTCTGTTTTCTGTGGTTGTGGGTCCATTTAATTCTGTCTCTTCTGGGCCTGTCCTAGGAGTTGAAGGAAAGTCCATTGCTTCTCATTATAGACTTTTGTTTCTTTCAGATATTTCGGAGATTGAGTCGTACCATTCCTACTCACCTCAAGATGACCAAAGGTCACGCCAGTCTGACCTCTCCTCACACTCTTCCAATGATGTAGCACGAGAGAACGCCAGGTGAGGACCACTTGAAGATCAGCTCCTGATATGTTCAACACATCATAATAATAATAATAATAATACAATGGCTCCAAAAAAGGCTTTGGACATTTAAATGGATAGTTCACCAAAAAAATGGAAATTGTCTACACAAAAGTCAAGTCAAGTCACCTTTATTTATATAGCGCTTTTAACAATACAGATTGTGTCAAAGCAACTGAACAGCATTAATTAGGAAAATAGTGTCAATAATGCAAAATGACAATAGTAAACACAAATTTTTCAGTTAAAGACAGTTCATCATTGAATTCAGTGATGTCAACATCCAGCTCAGTTTAAATAATATCTTTGCAATCAGTTAGCAGCGCGCTGTATATTTACCTCGGACTTGTGAGCGTCAGCCTGGGATGTTTCCAGCGCGGCTCTCTGCGCTCTCAGCTGGGTCTGCTTTGCCACCAGGCCCCGGATCTGTTTCTCCACGGCCTCCAGCTCGAGCTGCACCGAATGCATCTCGAACGTGTCCTCACCTGCACTCAAAGGTAGACACACATCCGCCATTAAAGCAAGTAACAGTGAGTAAAACAATGGTAATGTGTGTGAATAGAGTATTAGTAATGTAAGCGAGATTAGCGGCAACCACGCTGGCGATGCTAGTGGGCTATATGCTAATAGCGGACTCGGAAAGTCAAAAATAGAACTAGTGATAACAAGGCGCTCTGATTGTTTTTGTTGTAGAATACGATAGGGGATATATTCACACGTTATAGAACTGAAAAAGGATGGTGTATAAAATAGATTTTAAGATAAAAAATTAGACGACAAAGAATTGACTTGACGGAGCTCAAACTCAAACCACACAAAGTGTGTTTTGTCCATGCAGTGAAAGTCAGTGTAGTCCAGTGGAAACCAATGATCTGTATGAATATTTTTGCATTAAATAACAAAACATCAAACTAAGTGGTACTTAAAGAAAACAGTACACACCTTCCAGTTAGAATGTTTTGCAAATATATTCTCAGTCAGAAACGGTGTTAGAAATAAACTGTTGTTGTATTTTCAGGGAGGATCCTCAAAGTAGATTGGCAAAGACCGCTGTTTCATCCTCTCCTTACAAAACTCCAGAGGAGCCACTTCCAGCCCAGGAGGAGAAAGTAGAACCACAGGAAGAAGAACCACCACGTAAGAACAAGATTCTGTTTACCTTGTAGTTTGATAGTAGATAAAGACCCAAACATCTGGTTTATTGATGAAGCAGATGATTGGCAATGCTTGTCAAACACGAAATGAGAGTAAAAATCGGCTTTGCTGACTAATTAAATCAGAAAAGAAGTTGACCAGAAACTTTAGTAGAAACGGCAACATTATATAGGTTAAAAATCCTCACTGATGTTAGTGAATTAAAATTAAAATGACCAAAAACAAAAAATCTACAAAAGAAACCATCTGTAATGACTTTTAACTTTTACCTCATTGGAACATTTGCCATCAAGTTTATGTAGGATCCCCAAATTTGTAAATAAACTCAGTGCTAAAAAAAAAAAACAGTTACATAATTCCATTGTCGCAGAACAGATTAATTTATATATATATATATATATATATATATATATATATACAGTGGGGAAAAAAAGTATTTAAAACAGATGCCATTAATACAGGTAACGAGTGGAGGACAGAGGAGCCTCTTAAAGAAGAAGTTACAGGTCTGTGAGAGCCAGAAATCTTGCTTGTTTGTAGGTGACTAAATACTTATTTTACCAAGGAATTTACCAATTAATTCTTTAAAAATCCTACAATGTGATTTTCTGGATTTTTTTTTCTCATTTTGTCTCTCATAGTTGAGGTATACCTATGATGAAAATTACAGGCCTCTCTCATCTTTTTAAGTGGGAGAACTTGCACAATTGGTGGCTGACTAAATACTTTTTTGCCCCACTGTATATATATATATATATATATATATATATATATATACTGTATATAAACATTTGAAAGTTTGGGGTTGGTAAGATTTTTATATTTTTTCTGAAAGTCTCTTGTGCTCACAAAGGTTGCATTTATTTGATAAAAAATGCAGTAATATTGTGAAAAATTATTATAATTTAAAATATCTGTATCATATTTTAAAATGTAATATATTCCTGTGATCATTTATTCAGTGTCACATGATCCTTCAGAAATAATTTTCTGCCCAAAAAACATTTATTATTATCAATGTTGAAAACAGTTGTGCTGCTAATTTTTTTTTTTTTGTGGAAACTGATACATTTTCTTTTGTCACATAAATGTATTTACTGTTGCTTTTGATCAATGTAATGCATATTTGCTGAATACATTTTTTTTTTTAAGATTTATTTTTGGCATATTTGCCTTTATTATTATAGGACAGTGTAGAGATGACAGGAAACGAAGTGGGAGAGAGATGGGGTTGGGATCGGGAAAGGTTCTCGAGCCGGATTTGAACTTGGGTCGCCCGTGGCACAACAGCACTATTTGTCGGCACACTGCCCACGAGGCAGAATTTCTTTTAAAAAAACCCACTTGCTGACCCCAAACATTTGATCAGTATATTTCTTTGTTAACTTGCCTTTGGGATGTGTGATTAAAAGAAAATGTGTCTGCTTTCAGTTGTTTCAGAATTAAACTGATGATAGATCCTTTTTTTATTCAATGTGCAGCAGTAATAAAGACAACACCCAAGATCCTGCTCAGACCGAGCCTAGAGGACGAGGCCATTTATGGGTGAGTGGATGCTGTTAATATCCCGCAGGTTCAGCCCTCCTCACGCATGATCCTATTCACTGAACTAAGATCTTATTCACTAACTAAACCTGAGGACTCACTGAGGGCTGAGTTACGATCTGGAGACAGGGCTCATCACACACACTTTGTTTTTTAAATGAATAGTTCACCTAAAAAAAACTAAACAAAAAAAGTAATTATTTGCTCACCATGAGCATGAGTAAATAATGACAGAATTTTGATTTGGTGGTGAACTGTCTGTTTAATGGGATGTGTTTAATAGGATGAGCGCACAGGAAGTGAAATAGAGATAGAGAGAGGTGGAGGGTTGTCTGCATCACAGCCTCACAGATGGGCTGGATACCTCTGCGATCCCCCCCTCTCTCTCTCTCTCTCTCTCTCTCTCTCTCTGAATCATCCTCTCCTGCTCTCCTGCTCGTATCCACTGGGAGAGGTTATTTTTGTGTCCTGCTCTTGCTTACAGAGCTGCTTTGTTTTAAGACCAGAGCTCCAGTGTGCTTTTACTTGAGCACAGGACGAGAGAGCTGTTTTCAGCTGGAGAGCAGGGAAACCCTGCTGAAAAATCACAAGCCATGGCGATGCATTTGGCTGGAAAGGATAAATAGAAATGGGACAGAAAAAAAATCTATTTTTTAAGCCTGTTCTTCTCCAAATATATTATATGGGAGTCATTTTTTTAAGTGGGCTTGTTGCATTTTGGAAAATAATATTTTCTGAAATTGACCTTTTTTATTAGACAAAATTATTAGCAATCAAAGTATGACTTAATTGCTAATAGTTAGCACTGTATCATCCAGGATTATTATAGTAAACAAAAACTGAAACTATATATAAACTGAAATATTAAAATAACTTAAACTTATTTTGTTATAGTTACTTTTTTTCCCATTTAGTTTAACTTAAGTGCTAAAATAACTAAATAAGTTCAAACTAATAAATCAAAGATAGACTTAAAAAAATTATAAAAAAGGACAAAAACACATGGCAAAATTACTAAAACTTTAACTAAAATTAATTTTAAAACTTGAAAATGTGAAAATAAAATCTAATTCAAAATACAATTTCAAGATAAGTTAATAAAAAATAATATTTTGAGTCTGATGGGAAATGGCAGCATTATTACTTTGCTATAATTCCTATAAATATAAATATGAATACATTTACGATAAATTATCCTATTTTAATTAGTTTATTTAAATTCAATATTTAATTTAAAATGTATTCTATATTTATATGCACACATTATGCAATGGTATATTTTAAAATTCTATTTATATATATATATATATATATATATATATATACCCTGAAACTGAGCTGCAGCACGGTGGCCAAGACCATACAGCGGTTTAACAGGACAGGTTCCACTCAGAACAGGCCTCGCCATGGTCGACCAAAGAAGTTGAGTGCACATGCTCGGCGTCATATCCAGAGGTCGTGTTTGGGAAATAGACATATGAGTGCTGCCAGCATTGCTGCAGAGGTTGAAGGGGTGGGGGGTCAGCCTGTCAGTGCTTAGACCATACGCCGCACACTCCATCAAAATGGTCTGCATGGTTGTCGTCCCAGAAGGAAGCCTCTTCTAAAGATGATGCACAAGAAAGCCCGCAAACAGTTTGCTGAAGACAAGCAGACTAAGGACATGGATTACTGGAACCATGTCCTGTGGTCTGATGAGACCAAGATAAATGTATTTGGTTCAGATGGTGTCAAGAGTGTGGCGGCATCCAGGTGAGGAGTACAAAGACAAGTGTGTCTTGCCTACAGTCAAGCATGGTGGTGGGAGTGTCATGGTCTGGGGCTGCATGAGGGCTGCCGGCACTGGGGAGCTACATTTCATTGAGGGAACCATGAATGCCAACATGTACTGTGACCAGAGCATGTGAGCGGAGCGGAGTGGGGAGCGGAGCGGTAATGTTTCCTTAAGAGCGCAGAGCGCCTTTCTGAAGATTCCGCTCCACTCACTCAAAACGCTCAGTGCCGCTCACTCAACCCAGAATGCCGTTTGGTGATTTGCTTGTTCGAGATCGAGAGTCTGTAGAGATCGAAAATAGTAGAGCAGTTATGGAGTTCAGATATTGTTTCAACGAAGTTGCAAGCCTTATACATAAATGTAAAGTAAAAAATCTAAGTTAAGAATGAGCAGGGAGAAGAAACTGAGAGGGAGTGCGGGGAGAGTTAGTAAAGATTCATATTTAGAATCTGAAGCGGCACATAGCCAGAAAGCACGAGGATGTGCTACGCAAACATGGTGCTGCAAAAGGTGAGCTAGTTACATACCATAATAAATGAATAAACAGGTAGGCTAAGGTTATATTCGGTTGTACGGAGCCCAGATTATGACATGCAGACAATCACGGCCAACGAATTTAGAATAGGCTAGTTCTCTTTTATGCTAGGACTACATTATGGCCACGAATTAAGTATTTGTTCTCTTGTTTAGGCTTAGCTGCCACGAATTCATTAGTTCGTCCGTTCCCTAGTTTTAGTAGGCCTAAATCGTGGAACGAATTATTATATTTTGTAATTACTTATTAAAATCATTATTACTTAAAATTAATAAATAGTAATAAATTAATTTTAAAAAGAATAAAAC